TTAGTGACTCTTAGCATCTCATGGACTCTGCTTAATGTGTTATTTATCCTCATAGATTGTGACCTATCTGAATAGCTTTTGCTTTGATGAGACAGAATACAGTCTCCGAAACGCTATTTTTTAAATAAAAAGGGGACGCCGATTGACGATGTTGCTAAGCAGAACAATATATTTCAATTTTTTTATGCTTTACATAATTCAACGAATTAAAAATTAGAATATTAAGGAAATGAAGGTTGTTGTCAATATGATACGTTGGCTCTGTGGTGTTGCTTGCTTTTAAACGGTAACTCGTGACTCCCTCGCCGGTCTCTGTCCTTATTAACTGCATGTGGGTGTTTACTGTTCTGCGTATATACACGTAAGTCATCTCTGATGCGTGATTGTAGTTCTCCGTTGCTGGTTGGTACCATTGCTAGCTTATTTTGATGGCGGTGCGGAGGGGAGTTGTTCGTCTGGGTTCGTCTGTTATCCTTCACTTTGACTTTAAGCAAGGTAAGTAAATAAGATGGTGAACCGTGAGGAATAATTATCAATCGTACCTTTATCAGATCTGAATACACTTCCTACATTAACCAAATGCACATTGCTGCATCGACTGTTGGAATTTGAATGTCTCACATTCGTTTATGGTTTTAACTGCAAAATGGCATGGTTTAGTTAATTGTTTCCAGGGGAGACGATTTTTTTTTATTCATGTAATCTTTTCCTCTATTATTATATTCCCGTCACCTGAGTGTTAGTCTAGCTACGCTGTAGGTCATGTATTAAGTACTGCACGTTTCGTACTTTTGGTGGCAACATTTAGGTAAGTACAGCTTTTCTTATATTCAGATTTTTCTCTGATCTGCTAGTGCTCCGTACACATGAATTTTCAGTATTTAGACAATTGGAGTGTTTATTTTCAGATTTTATGTTCTGTGTAATGCCTCTTTTGTATTAAGTCTTATATAATTAAAGTTGTAGTTAAAGTAATAACATATTAATTGTAAAGGTATATTTATCTGGGGAATTAAGGCAGTTTTGGAATTTGTTCTCTGTGTGTTTTTGAGGGGTGCCTATGTGGGTTTCTTCTCTTACCTGGTGCTGCTGTTCTAGTTGTGTATTTTGTTGGTGTATGGGTATGAGATGTTTTGTTTCCTCCGTTTTTCTGTGTATTTTTGTTTTGTCCTTTGATCTGAAATACTTTTTTGGTGTTGTTTACCTATATGTTGTACAGGGGAAATCCATGCATTTGGATATTTTGTATGATAGGCAACTTTCTGTTCCCTGTATTGTAATGTTGAGCAAATTAATTTTGTTGTTCTGTTCCTTTTACATGGTAAATTGTAAGTTTGGTTTGATGTTGAATTCTTGTAGTATAAGGTTTGTTT